TAACAAAACAAAACTGCAAACATGAACACAATTTCTTTTTCTCACTCTTAACTAACCGAAGCCTTTCATTGAACTACCAAATAAACACATTGGCGCTCTCATTCTGGTCAGACACGTGGCAACACTTCTGCTATAATTTTGTTTGTATTTAACAAAATAAAAATGCAGACATAAATGTACACGTTAGTTTTTGACTGTAGTGAAAATTGTTTTCTTTAGAAATAAGTCTCTCACTACTGAACTAACACTGCGAATCCCTCAACAGGTTTGTGCTCTCTGCTCATATTGCATTCATATTAATTTTTTTTTCTTTTTAAGAACTTATTTTAACATTGCACTCAACAACAAACAAACTCTCGTAACAAAAAAAGTAACTTCAAGTACCAAACTGCATTATATTTCGTCACGTCGATATATGGGCTGCAAGTACGGGTGACGTGTGCCACAAGTGGCCCCCGGGCCACATGTTTGAGGTCCCCGTATTATACTGTATTCCATTATCAGACTATTTGTAAACAAAAAACATGAAATAAGTCTTTATGAGGGCACACACTACTGTTGGCTATACTATTATTGTAGCACAAAGTACCTTGAGGTACCTGCATAAATAAATACAACTGAACTGAATTGAATATTTCTCTCTCCCTTGACCCACTCTTTATGCAATAATATACACAACTCCTTAGTATCTTATAAATGAAGACATAAACACAAATTGTAATCAGACTCTTTATTTAGATGTTTGAAAATAAAGAGCCACTGCCATCAGATGCAACGAAGAAATGTCTGCTCTCACATGCTTGTGAGTAAATTTAATGTACATTTTAATGGTACATGCTCACACATTAAACAGACAAGCAAAAACCAAATATAAAAAGAAGTATTTAAAAACAGCAAGTAAGACAATAATCCAAATCACTATCAATATTGAACCAGTTTAATAAATCATAGATTTAAACTTGTGGCTGCTCAGTCAGATTTTACAGAAAGTTTAAATACACAAACTTTACTACTCATCCAAATCACACATTTAAGCTTCAAAGAGCTTTTACTCTTTCTAATTAACTGCTTTTTCTTTTTACAAGACCCTGATTTACACAGAGGGAGGTTGGGAGTACTTAACATCATAGCTAGTCTCCTTTTTGAGTGGCCAGGAGCTGCAAAGGAGACTTCCACCCAGTATCAGCAGCCCTACAGACACCCACCCGATGTGGAGCGCAGCTCCCATTCTGTATTCTTCATTGTAGGATTCATGAGCTATGGTGATTGTGGTCCAGCAGACTGGTATGAGCACCAAGACACCTGCAATGATGAAGGCAATTCCAGAAACAAAGGCCTCTTTAGTCTTTTGCCTTTCATCCTGATCATTGGTGGTGCAGTTGCCCCCTACCACACCAAGCATGATACCAAAAACATTGATGATGATGGCCATGATGGTGAGCACTCTGGCAGCCTTCAGTTCTTGAGGTACATCCAGAGAAATATAAGCTTCACATGCTGTCCCGTAGTAATAGTCCTGACTCTCACAGTACTTCCACAAACCCAGCCCATTATTCTGAGCAAATTTCCAAGTGGAGCCGATGCAGATGGCCATGCATCCAAGAGAGCCGAAGATGGCAAAGACCAAACCCAGAAGCTGCCTTCCACTAGCCTTCATTATAATGATTTCTTGGCGTATTCTTGAGAGCTGCTGTAGCTTATCTGTGAGCAAAGAGCTGAGTGGGAAGTGGTTTGTAGGTGGTTTTTATAACCAGAGATGTCTGTAGCTTCCTCAATGAGTATTCACATATTTAAAGTTGGCTGATTATTTAGTACTACCCTTTAGCTAAAAAACTGTTTCTAAATGAAACATAGTGTTACAGAGATGCATGTACCAAAAGAGGCACAAAGATATAATTGCTTATTTTATCATCAACACTACTTCAGGGGTACTTTAGTTTCACTGTCAACTTTTCATTTATTAAGAATTGAGGTGATAAAACACAACCAAAATCAAATATTTTTCACTGAAAAGTGTGAAATTTATTCACAGCAGATGCTAAAGTAGAGTTTGAAGGAAGAACAGGTGATTTTCAGAGTGACTTCACTGTCTCTCTGGACTGGCATGTAGGGTGTGTGTGTGTGTGTGTGTGTGTGTGTGTGTGTGTGTGTATGTGTGTGTGTGTGTGTGTGTGTGTGTGTGTGTGTGTGTGTGTGTGTAACGATCTGGAAGCAAATCATGTGTGGCGAGTTAAGGACCCAGGAGCAGGCGACACAGGAAGACAGGAACTTAATGAAAAGTGAAAACATGTGCCAGGAGTAGAAATAACTCAGCAGGAAAAACCACGACTAAACTAAGTAACAGAAAACTAAAACATAACAATACAACAGAAAGAAATCATAAACTTAAAATGCTGGGTCGAATGACCCAGAACCATGAAAGTGTGAATATCAGTCTTCTTTAAAGAGAAAATGAAAACACTAATGGATTCTCACACAAACACTTTCCTCGTGTTTGACAGGTAAACACACTCACATTATAAACATTGTAGACTTCTAAGTATTTATAAAAAGTAACCAATCTAATGTGGTAATATATGCTACTATAGGTATGATTTCCACCGATGTGCGATCTACAGTGATTTCTTTATTTTTGTACAAGTTTTCCCAAGCTTCTCCAATCCTGCTTTAAAACTGGAAATGCCACATTTCCCTGTGGGTAAACTAATAATAACAGTGTTGGTATAATTGAATATATTATAGGATAAGAAAATGTTATAATTTAATTGTTAAATATGAATTAAACATTTCACAACACATTTATTTAGAAAAAGACAAACAGACCATCCAGTGTCTTTTTTTCTATGTTTGCATTCAGAGGTGAAAAAACACCAGCATCTCACACACTGAGGTTATAATTTGGCATGCAAAGGCAAACTACTACATGTTTTTAAAGTGGAAAAAAAATATCTACACAAGAATTTTTGTGTTTCCCCTCACAGCTAGAACAAAATATTAGCATTAAACAAATGTTATCAGTCTTCACATGTGAATGCTGGGTTTGATACTAACATGTTATTTCATTTCATTTAGCACAGAAAATGTGTGCAGAAAGTAGGTTGAACTATTTATAGGACAACTTGGAGATAGCAGCTCAATGTTCTGTGGCAGTGGTTTGCTATTTAATGTCAGTTTAGTTTAGCTTTGCCTAGGAGCACTTTCAAAGTAATAAAGCAAATCAAAACTGACTCTTCTTTCATATGATTTTTAATTTGTGGTTTAATGTATTACAAAATAACTTTCTTTAATGTTGAACTAGACTGCATATGCAACTACATTTATTAACTATGATGAACATGTGTTTCCTGCAGTACATGTAGCCTGTTGCTTGAATGATAAAGCGTAACCACAGACATGTATACAGACACTAATTGCTTGGTTTTTACAACAAATATTTTACACTGTAAATTAGAAATGCAAAAAATGAAGCTCAACAGTGTTGTCTTTATTAAAAATATTTTCCTCTCCTCTTGATCTTCAATGAAAAAAAACCTTAATTCTCATTAGTCTTTTAAATCATGAGAGATCTACATAAACACAAACACATTCTGATTATGTTTATTAAACCTTCACAGAAAAAGATCCATCATGATCAGATAAAAAAAAGTAAATATACACCATCACTTATAAAATTTTACTGGCATGCAATCTTACATAAAGAAGGAAAATAAAAGAAAAATGAGGACACTATTCACACCGTGGATACAAATCAGTGACAGCACTCAACAGTTCAGTGATGAAAGAGTAATCACAGACCTGACCTACACTTAAAACATTGGTTTCCCTGTCAGACTTTTTTGAAATTTGAAATGAAGAAGACTACCTAGAAAACCCCCTGTTTCTATACCTATGATATAACATAAAAAGAGACTAAAAGAAATATTTGTTTTACACAATTACACTGCAAACATTTTTGCCTGTTTTGCTCACATTCCATGCTTTATTTTTTTACTCATTCAAGAAAAATACAGTAAAGCTTTTCTAAAACATTTCTCTTGATCCCTAGAGACTGTATACATTTAAATTTATTTAGTTTATAGAAGTATTTATATATTTTTACACAGAGCTAGGTTTGGAGTATTCAACTTTAAAGCCATTCTCATTACTGCGTGAACAAAAGAAGCAGAGGAGGCTTCCTCCCAGTAACAGCAGCCCTGCAGATGCCCAGCCGATGTAGAGTGAGGCTCCCATCAATGGAGGTCCGTAGTAAGATGTTCTCGCCATGGTGAGAGTTGTGATGGTGCTCCAGCAGATTGGAATGATCACCAGGACACCTGATATGATGAAGATAATTCCAGAAGCTATAGCCACTTTGCTATTTTTCTTCTTATTTGACACCAAGTTGGTGCAGTTGCCCCCGACAACACCAACTATGACTCCAAAGATCCCGACAATGATGGCGAAGACGATGAGCACTCTGGCAGCCTGCAGGTCTTGAGGTAAGGCCAGCAGAGAATCATAAGATTTGCAGTCTGTTGTTGGTCGTGGATAGTAACTATAATCAAAGTTACAGGACTTCCACAAACCCTCTGATTTCCTCCACTCAGGGGATCTCCATGTGGGGAGAGCACAGCTGATGATGCTCCCCAGGACTCCGAAAATGGCCAAGACCAAACCTAGAAGCTGTCTCCTGCCAGGTTTCATGATGAAGTTTTCTTGAGCTCTTCAAAGAGGAAAGACAGTGTGTTCTTGAGAGTTGCAGTAATTTAGAAAAGAGCTGGGCAGGAAGTGGTTTTTATGTGTTTTTCATGATCAGAGGAGCTGACTAGTTTCCAACTCACTAATCATGCTGTTAAAGGAAAAGACAGATTGTTGCCTTTAAGCTGAAAATGTTCTCTGAAGGAAACCCAGACTCTCAGAGAGGCATAAAATGTAAAAAGTATAATTAGAAAAAGGTTGCAAAGGAAATCGCATATATTTGTTAATTAAATCTAAAGAAAATTACAATTGGATTATATTTTTTTAAAATGGTCTGTGGCAATCCTGGTTTAAGTTAATTACATTAAAGTCTTTAATGATTCAGCATTTTGTGACTAAATACAAACAAAATCAAACATTATTGTTTCCTCATAAATAGAGGAATATAAATTCCTTCATTCTCACTGAAATGTGAGATTTACTCATAGCAGATACTAATGTAGAGTTCCGAGGAAGAAGATGTGACTACAGATTATCTTCATTACCAGTAGATACTTGTAGTTCAGTCACTGATATGTAGCTGCAACGATGATAACAGACTCAACTTCATCACCGGATGTTCTCGTTGCAATTTGTTGCTTTGTGCCTGGTTCAACTTGTGATCATGTGTTTTAAATGAAGTGGCATGTCCTTTATGCTCAGTTTACTTAAATTTAGAGGGGAACATCCACATGGTCTGAAACTTTTATTCAGTGCAGTTTACTCATCTGTTGGCTCGTACTCAGATGAGATCATCTAATGATCTTCTGTAATCCATGTGCTTCTGTGTGCTCACATTGGATACGTTTTAAAAATCTTCTTCAGGAACTAAAGTTGGTTAATGTGATATGTCCAATAAATTTCTGTCATAAAATTGTTTTTATTGAAACTATATCATCTATACTCAACCTATTCAAGATGTACATGGTGAGATTAGTTGTCTCACCCACACAGAACAACCAAAAGTAAAGGAGCTGCCAGTATACAGGGTCTCTGACTGTCTCTCTTTCTTCACTCTCATTTTGTGTTTAACTCTCTTTTCAGTTTCAGTTAATTTAGTGATTGATAGATTTATTTGTATATAGGTAAACTGACGATGGCCGAGGCCAAATCAAGAAACTGTCTTCCACCGCTTCAAAGAGGAGGGGTGATGTGGTCTGAGTGCTCCAGTTATTTAACAGTGAGCGGCAGCTGAGCAGGAACTAGTTTTTATGTGGTTTTCACACTTGAAACCACTCGAGTGGCTTCCTTACTCGCTCGCTCACATTGCATGAGAAAGCACACATTAGATTGTACTGATGCTGCAATCTCCAAGCCACAAATTAAATATAGATATATTACTTAGAACATGTGAATACCAATGTTGTTGACAGCCATACGGCACATTATAAAATATGACTGTCATATAAAATAGTTTTGACTTCTCTGGAATTATGGATAAAAGAAGAGCCGAGTATGAGAATGCAGGTAAAAATAAGACCTTTTTGCAGTAACTTTTCTTTTGCATGAGAGTTGGAAAGAGTTCACTTAGCTCTCAGTATCTGCACATCGTGTGAAAATGTCATTTACACTTTATGCTCTCGTTGCACTGTTTATAGGATCTCAAAGTGTATATATTTACACATGCAGCCTCCTCTTCTCGTGTTGGTTAATTGGACTCTCACCACCATATGTGTAAATTTAAGTGTGAATGGTTGTCTTCTGTATCTGTGTTAGCCCTGTGACAGACTGCAGGGATAGGCTTAAAGCCCTCCTGCAACCCTGAAAAGGATGAATGGATGGATGGACATAGTGTGTCCTTGAGAGCTGTAATTTTTATCTGTGAGGGAAGATCTGAGCAGGAAGTGGGGTCATACGCTGTCAATTTTTCAGTCAGTGTTCTGCTTCTTCATAAATAAAAACCAGTTCATAAGCAACTCTCCCCACAAATTGTCAACATAATATTTTCACCCCAAAAATATGTGTTAAAGGACCACTGCGGTACCCAGATGTCAGAGAGAACTGCCAAAACACGTACATCTGTAGAGGGGGCAATCATAATGAGGTATTTCGTAATTTGCAGATTCAAGCTGCTCTTCATATTTTTTGCCACCAGATGTCACCAAAGAGGACTGTGTTGAAAATCTGTGAGTAATCCGGTGCTTCAGGAAGCTTTATCTGACCATATCTACTTAGCCTTATACCAGATTTAATGACTCCATTCAGAAAAGGTGCAGAAAGTTCTTCTCAAGCAGGAAGACTCCTGCTGTGGGCAGACCAATGGAACAGAGCAAGTTTTACTGTAAATTTAAACCTTAAACTACAAAGTGAGCTCAGCGTAACCAGGGTAACTGTCAATTATCTGGGTTCACTTTCCCTAACGCTGGCAAACGGGATAAGCAGTCACACAAAGTTGGATATCAACTTGCTAATTTTAACCAGGGTTTTGCTGTGCTTTTCACATTAATTTGTTTTTTAAATCAGAGACCGGAAGAAAAATGAAGGAAAAGACGAAAGCGTTTGTATTCCTTTTTTTCCTGTCACAGTTTTAGTTTCTGAATCTTTAGGACGAGCACGGTTTGCGCTGGTGAAATTCAGGAGAATTCCTTCAAAAAGGTGTTGCTAGCATAAAAATCTGGTGTTGCAGTCTTGTGCTTGTGTCAGTTACTAGTGTTTTTATTTCACAATATAAAGAATATAGGGAAATATATTTTCTCTGAAATGAGATAAATGTGAATACATCTTCACAGCATTACAAGTACATGTGATTGTTTATTTTGTTTGTATTTTCACACATATATTTACATTTATTCTGAAATGTACTGGTAAATATATTGAAATGTATTAAATATATATAAATCCTTATATTTTCTTTCTTGTTGTGTGTAACTGGAGTAAGCAACCGTCTCGAAGAAAACAAAAGCAAAAAGCCTGCTGAAACGGCTTTGCGGTTAATGAGCTTTGCGTTTAGCCACTTTAACAAAAAAGGAACCAAAAAGAGAAATAAAAAAATACACATCATTTTACATGCTCAGAAATATATATTCTCATTTGAGATAAGTCTTACTTGTATACAATCACATAAACAGATGATACTAAAAGATAAAACATAGACTTAAACCAGTGGATACAGAGTCAGATTTTATAGCATTTTTAAATGCACATGCTTTGTATGATTTTACACAAAAAAGGAACGTCTCTTTTCATACAACAAAGTGAACAACACAAATAATAAATTTTTTTAAAAATGCAAAGGTGGTTATAATGGTGTAGGATACAACAAAACGGATTTAGAAGCAAGTTACATAACCAAACTGCAAAATTTTTCTTTTTTTAATCTGATTTTATACTTTGTTAATCTACTCATTCAAAGGACAAACTAAAGATGAAAACTTTCAGAAAACCTTTTTCTTATTTCCAATAGACTGCTCGATGTATAAAAATAAGCCTTATTACATATGGCCTTGCTTACATGGTAAGAGTTGGAGTACTTAATGTTTTAGTCAGTTTCTGCCCTGCGGAAAAAGGAGCTGCAGACGAGGCCTCCTCCCAGGGACAGAAGGACGGCGGTGAACCAGCCAATGTAGAGCGAGGTTCCCCACTCCATCTTCCTAAGCATCCCATGGTGAGGATCATAAGGAGACTGGGCAGGATGAAAATGATCACTGATGGTGTTGGCTGTCCAGCTGACTGGTATGAGAACAAAGAGGCCTGCAATGAGGAAGGCAATTCCAGAAGTCAGAGCCATTTTGCTCCTTTGCCTTTTAATTGGCACAAAGTTAATAAACTTGCTCCCAGCTGCACCAAGCAGCATCGCAAGGAGCTCAATGATAATGGCAATGATCATAAGTACTCTGGCAGCCCTCAGCTCTTTAGGTAATGGTATGTGCTCGTAATCCATACACACACCAAAGGATGAGTTTTCTGCGAATTCACATTTCTTCCACAAACCCTCTCCACAGCAGGAGTACACTGTGGTATCTTTGAAGTCTGTTATGATTTATATTTATATTTAAATTAATTACTTTTTCAAAGTAACTTGCCCAACACTGGATGCAATACATTTAAAAATCCAAACAAAAGAAAACAAACATTTTTTAATTGGCTTCTTTCAGAAAAACAGCCACCAAAAAGACATCTTTAAAAACACTAAGCAAAACTCAAAATGCCCAAAACATGATCTCATTCTCTTATTAACCGACAACTTAATGTGACAATTTTACTGTTACAATACAATCATACCTAATCAAAAAACTGCAAACAAATACTGCAGAAAGGTATTCTCAATGCAACTGCAAATGAATAACACAATCAATATTGAACAGTTTAATAAAGAAAAAGTCAAAGATCAGATCTGGATTTAAGATACACAATCATGTTTTATAGAGGTTTTGAATGCACATGCTTTTGATCTTTACAAAGATAACAGAAAAAAAGGGAAACTGTGTCCAAATTCTTATAGTAAATAGCATGAACAGTAAACATAATAAGAAGAACTGTCTGGTATAAAATACAACAAAATATATCAAGAATTAAGTTACATCCACAAATTGCCAAAAGTTTTTCCTATTTTAATTACATTTTAAACTTTCTTGTACTACTCATTCAACCTTTTTTTTTTCTTTTTAACAGACTGCTGGATTTCAAAGCTTAGGTTAATATGAGTAACTAAGTAACTGCTCTTTGTAAAAAAGACTATTTACAAAGAGTGAGGGTTGACGTACTCAACATCTTGGTCAGTTCCATCTCTGCAGATAAAGGAGCTGCAGAGGAGGCCTCCTCCCAGGAACAGAGGTGCTGTGGTGATCCAGCCAATGTAAAGCAAGGCTCCCGGTTCACTCTTTACACGGTCACCCTGCAGAACATAGGTGATGGTGATGGTGGTCCAGCAGACTGGTATTAGAACAAAGAGGCCAGCAAAGAGAATAGCAACTCCGGAAACCATAGCTATTTTGCTCTTTTTCATTTCATCTGGCACAAAGTTGATGAATTTGCTCCCAACAACACCGAGCAG